TCTTTCTTGAAGCTCAGAAGAGCTTGTTTCTCGTAGGCTATGCAGGCACCAGCTTCATTTTCATAGCAACAGCTGAGTAAAGCTACTGTCATGATTAGAAGAAACCTGGGAAGCTGGGCAGCTACCGCAAATATTGGCTTGCCGGAACCAGAATTCATCGTACTACAGATACTTTGGACTTTGAATTGTTAAAAAAGGCGATTTAGATAGTAAAAAGCCTTCCATACGTGAAACTGCTTGAACTATATATAGCCACCGGGGATTCAGGATTTTGACTTCGTGGGTGAAGCTGATACTAACTTATTCAAGAATTGAGTAAAATACACTTTATCCCCAGTAGTTTAATGAATTTTCACGTAAACTCCTATAATTTTAAAAACTATATATAATCTCCTCATAGTTCGATTAAAACTAACTACACTGACACGCATTTGCAAATCAACTTCAATTATGTAAAATGTTGCCTAAAAAAAGATCCTTCAACTATGTGGAACAAACTTTATTGCCTATAAAAAAAATCTTTACTAAATAAAGAGTTGATAATTAGTATGTCAAACAAATATCGTCAATTGCATATAAAATAGCATCTTTTTGTTTGAAGGTATATAAAATAGCATCTTTAGTAAAGAATAAATCAGCGGATTAAAGTACAAGTAACAGAAAATATAAGATCTGTACTAAATAAAGAGCTGATAATTAGTATGCCAAACAAATATCATCAATTGCATATAAAGTAGCATCTTCAATAAAGAATAAATCGACAGATTAAAGTACTAGTATCAGAAAATATAAGGCAAACTTTTTAAGTACAATATAATATAGTAATTTACTTGAATTTAGAGCGCAAGTCAATAAGCCAAAAATTATTGAGAATTGTTCTTGCTTTTCTTTGTTGTATAAAACTTGAAAAAAAATGAATTTTTCCCACAAAAACACTGAAGATTTTGTACGAATGTTACAAAAATGAAGTGATTTGTGAGAAAAAAAAGTTAAAAGAGTTTCTTATTTATTTTTCTGTACCTAATAAATACGATAAAGAAAGAGATGAATTAACTAGAGAGACTAAGAAATTTGTGTTCGCCCTTGTATTTGTTTTTTTAATTCTTTTTTATTAATTTATTGGATAAGCGCGGCACTCCTCTCGGAAACCTATGTAGCGGTTGGGAATGTACTGTTTCTCATTTTTAGAGGGAAGACAACTCATGTGTGGATGTTTTGAGAAAATTTAGCCTGAATTTACAATCACGGATGACCTCCTTTTATGACCCTCTAGATTTGGCAAAGGCGACTTTGCGTGAAAATTTTTTGGGTAGTACATATAGGAGATATCTAACAATGTAGTTTGGTTCCGGACTATTGTATGTGTATTCGTAGGCATCGACTAAAAATATACGTTAATCTTAGATACTGACTGACTGTGTTAGATGCATGACACTGTGTAAAATTTGATTTGAATTCAATTTAATTATCAGGTATCTAATGATGATAGTGTATGCAGTATTAATGTATAAAAATTTATTCCAAAATATAAACCATACAATTTTTCAAATCAAATTACCTATTACATATATATATTTTAAAAAAATTCATGGGGGAGGGTCGGGGGAAGCTGCCCCTTCCGCCCCTGCAGATCGGCCAATAATGCAATTCATTAGCTTTAAGAACATTTCCACCATTTGACTTTTCATCAGAAATTTTTTTTTTTGGCTGCCCCTATAGTTCCGCCAATACAGCAATTGAAGAGGCTTTTAAAAGACTTCAACCAGTTGAGTTTCCAGGACGAGGAATCATTCCCAAGATGCTGGTGAGTGGTGGAGGAGATTAGGATTATATCAAACAAATTTTGCGTTGAAATGACTGAATCATTCATCTCAATTGATTGCCAGACAAGTTCAAAGATATCAATTTCGAAAGTGAAGTCAATTCGTCAGGTCAGGGACGATACCACAAAAGTGATCAATTGAGAGGTTAATACTATTGAAGAACAATGCCATGTTCGTACTCATTTCCCTTGGTTGCCCAATTCGTTGGGGGGGGGGGGGGTGATAATATCACAGTCGGTGTGTTTGGCTAGGAGATTTTTTGAATAGGACGTAAAAAAGCACATCACAGGAGATCCAATTGGCGTGTTTCGGCTATCCAATTGGTGTGTTTGGATAAGAGATTATTTGAAAAAAATTATTTGAAATAATACTTGTTGTTATATAATATATGTGAAATAAAAAAATGACTAAAAATTAAGTTTACGATGCAAGGTCAATAATAATTGAATGTTTTTTTTAAAAATTGATTTGCACCTAAAATGTTGTTAGTTGGAAAATCTATGACTGGAAGAGAATTCAAGTGGCACAGTTCTAGGGGAAGTTCACCCTGAAACTTGTTGGAATGTAAAATGAGAATCCTCAAATTAATAAAAGATAATCAAATCAATTCGGTATTTTCTCAACTAATGGTGCGTTTGATAAAATTGAAATCTGAAAACTGAAGTTCGAAATCTGAAATTTGAAATCTGAATCTATTAAGTTATTGAATTATTAAGTATTAAATCTAATACATTTGAGTGCATATCACTTATCACTTAATTTTGGAAACAAATTTTGCCTAAGAAATATATTCAATGTCATTTAATTAATTCAGACGTTCAATTTTATGTTATTAAACTATCTGAATCCATTAAATTTAAGTGATGAATTGAGTTATCAAACAAGGCCTAGCTTTTTATCTCTTAGGATTTCTAATGATAATTTTATTTTAGTTTAAATTTTTTGTAATTTTTTTCTTTGTCAAATGTCAAAATTTTCAGATCTATTTGTCAAATCTGAAAATTTGAATCTATTTTGTCAAATTTCAACTTGGTAAATGGACTTGAAGAAGTTAAACTACATATCTGGCAAGAGAAAACATGCACAAATGCTCGTTGGGTTCAAAGAAATTGATATAATTTAGAATAGATTAGGAATTTACAATATAATATTTGTAAATTTTTCAAATCTAGTGTATTCATAGCTGTTTCAAATTTGTTGTTTCTGTGACATATTGAATGATGTATTTTTTGTCATTAATATAGATCTCACAATTTAAAAGTGGAATTTTATTAACAAAATTTTTTTTCCCTGCAAGGTCATTTCTAACAAATTTGTGCAATTCTTTAGAAACGAACGTATCCCATCAGGGAGACTATTGCTTCACAAGTGTAAAACCGCAAATATTTCATATATCCGATGGACCTTGGAGTGATTGCTCTAAAGTTATTGTTTTCCAAATCAAAAATTTTATTTGAAAGAAGTTGTTCGAGGTCTGTAATTCTCTTGTATTTCATTCCTCACCTTACACAAGAAGAAGTAAGAGAGCCCTCGAGAGCATCAGTTCGTAGAAAGGTCTAAAATGGTTTCAAAGTAGCAGGTTATAATTTAGGATAAATTGGACACTGAATTGGTTTGAGCTCAAGTCAGCATGATTGCTTATGCAGCAATATTTGAAATCTAACCTTGGAATTGTTTGTGGGAAAGATTGTATCATTATCCTGTTGTTGGTACTAAATCACACCAATGTTTTGAAAATTAGACCGGACCGTCCAATTTGATCGATTGAACCGCGAACAGATCATGCCTTCGGTCTGATTCAATTAAAAAGTCAAAGAATTAATTGAACAGGTCAAAATCGATCAAGAATCAGTTGAACCGATAACAACCTAGAGGTTCAGCTAGTTTTAATTAAGTATTTGTTTTCCAAAATAAATATTTTAGTTTTATTCAAAATTATTAATACTAAAATAAAAAAAATTATTAAACTTTTGAACTGGAGTCGAACATTAGTTGATAGGCTATTGACCATTTTCTTCTTTTATTTAGAACTTCAATAACTTATCCAGAAAAATATTAGTAGGCACAGCCTACTCTCCCAGAGAATTAGCCTGATAACTCACAATTAAACACTACACACAAAAATAATTTTTGTGTTATGACAAACAATTAAATTTTGAGGGTTCGAATTTAACGAAGATGAGTTTTACCATGAGGTTTCAGCAGAGTAATAAAGGGTGAATGAGAGCTTGAGCACGGGAAAGAAGAGCAATGCATTTTTTTAGGATAAATTACAAATAATCCTTTTGTAGTTTCACTTATTGCTACATATTCTCTCTAATATTTCAAAACATCTGCTTTACATCTCATAGTTTTATGTAAAGTGGAAATTTGATGAAAAATAGTCTCTATAGCATCTTTAAATGAAATACCTAAATTGCCCTTGCTTGAGTATTAAAACGAACAATGGCCTAACCATCTTGTATAAAATTATAGAAGAATTATATGGATAAATGTAAAAATACAAGAAGGTAAAGTGGATATTCATGTAAATCATAAGAGAGTTAAGTAAATATTATAATTCCATCATATGCATTTTTTAAGCATGTCTAGTTCAAGTGCATAACCGATGATGCTTTCTGTCCATTTTTTGCTCCACATAAAGCTACAAGAGAATTATATGGTTATTTGAAACCTTAAAGAGGTCATGTGACAATAAGCAAAATTATATGCTGTTATATGTGTTTACCCTTTTTATAATAGATTGTGGTTTAATGAGTTTTCTTTTCCCTTGTGTAACTCGTTATGAAGTTGCCAGTTAAAGAATAATTTCAACGTTTTTGGCTTTACTCTTAACGTTACCTAAACTTAATTCGGTTTAATACCATGAAGATGATGCAAAGAAACTTCCGCAAACGAGAAAAGAGAACAGTAAATATCAGGATTGCTATGCCTCTTGTTGCATGATATGGTAAAGAAAGAATTTTAATGGAAAGGGTTGTCATTCGTAAATTGGGTAAAAGAAAAGAAAAAAATGAACAAGACAAAGCATGTGAAGCAGTGATCTTCAGGTTAAACACCAACATGAGCATAAGAATTGTGCTTAATTTGTTCCCAAGTGACGATAAAAAGGAGCCTATATGAAAGAGAAAATTTGTTGCCCTTGCAGTTGTTCAGTGTTCATCTGCTTGCAAATGACTATTTGAAAGGGAACACTTTAACATCATCCAGGAAAGGACCGCATCTTTGACCATAGTCATGAATGTTCATGTGATAAAATGGGCTGTAAAAACTTATCATTGTTCTGTTGTAAATTGCTTGGAATTTGAATCTTGCTCTCTTAGATCCACCAGTTCCAGTCATGGTTCGAAGTCTCGGCTGAGTGGTTCGAAGTCTCGGCAGAGACCGAGACGACTCGGCAGAGTCGTCACCGTCTCGACCCCTACCGATACGATACCGTGACGAAACGATACCGAAATACTTGACTCGTCGAGAAATCGGCCGAGTCGTCACACGACAGATTGACTCGGTCAAGTCACACCAAGTCACTCCGAGTTATCCCGAGTCAAGACGAGAAATCAGCCGAGTCACACCGCGACGGATTGACATGGCTGTTTCTTTTGCTATTTTTAATTATTTTTATTTAGCATACTTTTTTATATTATTAACAATTTTTAGAATATTAAATACTTTAAAATTTGCGTCTCACCGAGACCGCGACCGATATGCCGAAACCGATGTGGAACGTTCCGGGCCGCGACCGCGACCGCAACCGTGACTTTGAACCATGGTTCCAGTAGATCTGAATGGAACTTTCAGAGTTTGCTTTGCTGCATAAGCTTCAACCATCATCTCTCCATGACAACCGTTCTTTGCATCAGCAATCGTGAACGAAAGGAGGTAGAACTTGTTAACCACTGTTCTTATAATCTGTGCTATTGCAGTTTCCCTTCCTCCAATCAATTCAATGGCCGCATTTCCTTGTGGAACAAAGAAATGCTTGGAATCGATGTATTTAACAGGTTTGAGGTGTTGGACAATCCACCCGGGGACTGTTGAGTAAGAGTCAGACGTCATTGGAAGGAGTAGAACCCCAGTCGAGAAATTCTTGAATACATGAGGGCCGTTTTCGAATCCACCATTTCTTACCAAGTTACCTGCAACACATTTTGCAGAAGTAATTACACAATCAGTCACTGTTTGTGCATTTAAAGGATCTTACTTCTTCTTTTCTTAAGATAAAACAAGAAGGGAAATGTTTACATGGACTCTACTTATTTGCGACCAAATTTTAGATGATTGTAGAAAAATATTGCATCGACATTTCTACCGTCTAATTAAAAGTATACTATTATTGTCATTTAATATTTGGTCCACCGTTAGATCAGATCCTAATTTGTTATATCCCCCAGAAAGTTGTAGTTTTGGAATTAGAACTGAGAATCAGAACATTTACGAATACTGAGGCCCAATTTTACCATTTGTAAAAAATGACTAGAAGGTGAAGAATGAAGAATATGAAGGTAGCCTACTAATAATATTAAGCATAATTTGGAAAGGAGGACTTACCCCTAGTGTGCCCATTGCTTAATATCTCCTTGATGGCAACAGCATCCAGGAGAGGTCCGCAGGTTGGATCCTCTTGAACCCCCGGGTTATGAAATGTGACCTTAACAACATCAGAAGCAGCCTTAAAAGCCCAGGCATAAGTATCATCACCATCGCTGCTGTACAATGTCTGGATGGGAAGTTGACTTGAGAATCCAGGGACAGAACCCCTTAGCACCTCATCTTGGGCACAAGTCCTGGTGGCTGAAAAGGTCAAAGAATAGATTGCTCTAGGTTTCACCTTGACATGCTGAGATATGGCAGCTTCATTTCCAAGCCTCACTGCATGAGCCCCACGAGGAATTGCAAAGCGAAAACCACCAGGTTGTGGTCCACCTGAGACGTACTCAACTATACCATCAATCTCCCATTTGGGCAAGGAGTGTTTTCCTATGATCACTGTTTTCTTTAGATTTGATGCCTTTGGTCCTTCTTCAAAGTTACCGATTTCTAGTAGACCTGCAAATTAATAGACAGACATGTACGATTAGCATAATTTGTATTAATTGCCGCAAGTGAAATTTTCCACTCATTCTTTAGCTTTTGGGTATATATACATGAAAAAGAACCTGAGGCAAAATCTTGATTATCTAGTGATGTAGACTTGGCAAGTTACTTGTTGAGAAATAGCGAGAGAGGTTCGAGCATACCATCAAGAAATAGGGTGACTGCAGCGAACGAAAAGCTTCCGCAAATAGAAAAGATGAACAAAATGCAGAGAGTTTGAAAGGGAGCCATTTTCTGCAAAAATTTATACAATAAAGAATGGAAGCTAAAGAGGAACTAGGGTTGTATATAACAATGTCCAATGAATTGTTTGGACGGTATTCTTGGCTGTAGCCATGAAACTAGGCGGAGGATGTGGCCAACTGTCTCAAGTATTTGCTCGGAAAATCGACCTGTTTTACACACTAATTAATCTAGTGGTTTTACAATAACTAGCTAGCCTTCAATGAAACCTCCTTTCTTTAATTACATCTGATGTTTGCCTCCTAGACCTCTATTTTATATTGCTGTTTAGTTTCTTGGACATCCAAGAGCCTCCTCCACATTCAAGATCTTCTTGGCTTCTCTACCTTGGATTCATACATGTCATGTTTAGATTGGAAGATGACTTCTAAATGAAAGTTTTGATGTGTACGGGATGATTAAATTAACTTGCATCATATGTTGTTGGATGGAAACTTCCACTGAATTCTCTGATTTACAAACTGCAATTCAACCAAATAAATGCATTGTCATGTGCCCTGATCGATCATGTGCTTAACTTATGAAACAGAAACTTAAACTGAACATGTCAAGACACCTGATCTCATTGCAAGAAAAAAGTCGATCTTCCATTAGATAACTTACCTAGTGAAACTGATATGAAAGGAATTAAAATATCATTTTGACACGAGACGGCCCATATCAGCAGCAAAATCTCCTTGACTTGCAAAGAGATAGGGTTTTCAGTGTAATTAGTAAATCTCCATGCAGTTAATCCTTTTCTAAATGCTAACAACTTATCATGATATGGGGAAAAAAGTCATTATAACACAGACAATTCTATAGACCCAATAGAAAGCTCTGGAATTTTAGCAACACTTTGTTCCATCTAAACAGTATTCCGTTTTCCATGTTATTGAGTTCATTGAATTTAGGGAAACAATGAAGACATTATTACTATATGCAAGCATCTGATTTTATGTGTAATAGAAAAAAATTAAAATCAATGGAAATCTGATGAAGGTTGCAGTATTAGAAATGCTCTTGTCGTACCTGATTGTTCACTAATATCCTCTCAGCAAGAAAAAAAAATACTTAAATGAAGTTAGGATATGAGGTTCATCTATAATAAGCTTCCCTCAATTAGAGTAATCTTATAGCAGTATTACTAATTGATAACAAACTTTTATTAGTAATGTTCAGTTTAAAACAGATTACGAATTCATTTTTTATTAATTAATTTCCGTCTCCGTTTGATAGTTGTGGGGAAATGATTTTGAAACGTGATCACAAGCAAAACCAAAAAGGCAGATCTCATAAACTAATTACCTCCTGCAGCTTAAAGCACCAATGTGACCCATACAGCAATTCCTTGAACTAACAAAAAAGAAAAGAAAAGAAAAGAAAAAGCTTCCAAAACTATGTTGCTTTTTGATCACTCTCTTTGATCTTCACTCTAACAGTGACTATTTGAGAGGAAACACTTTAACATCATCCAAAACAGGACCACATATATATGTGACCATAGTCATGAAGCTTTGTGTGATAATTTGGGCTATAAAAAGTTATTCTTGTTCTGTTTGAAAGTGCTTGAAACATGAGGATGGCAGTCTTGGATCCACCAATTCCAGTTGATGTAAATGAAAGTTTTATGGTTTTCCTAGCTGCAAAAGCTTCAATCGTCATTGATCCATGACAACCATTCCTAGCATCCCCAAAAGCGAAGGAAAGAAAGTAGAACTTGTTAGGTACTGTTCTTATGATTTGTGCAATAGCTGTTCCTCTTCCTCCAACCAATTCAATAGCTGCAAGTCCCTGGGGAACGGAGAAATGCTTTGAGTCAACATACTTAACTGGTTTGAGGGATTCAACAATCCATCCAGGGAGCGATGAGTAGATGTCCGTCCTCTTAGGGAGGAGCAGCACCCCAGTGGAGAAATTCTTGAACACATGAGGGCCGGTTTCAAAATCACCATTTTTGACCAAGTTACCTGCATAGTTTCAGTGCAAATCAGGAGCTTTCAATGAATTATAAAATATACATTGCATTGGTTAACATTTACTATATATTTGGAAGAAACTACAAATTTATATTTTAAAGATAGTGTCTTCGTGAACGAATATCAACAGTCAATAATAAAAAGAACAAAAAAGGCAGTTGGGTTGTGATCAACTTACGACCATTGCCCAACAATTCAGACAATTATTTTGGGATAAATGTTAATGGCACTCCTTTCTCTGTGAACGGCACCCTTTTTTTTTTCAACCTTTTGCCATCTGAATCAGATAAAAATTGCCATGTTTTTCTTTGAATTTACAACTGCCGTTAGAATAGTCAAGAGGAGTATCATTAACAGATAAGTGTGTGCCATTAACATTTTTCTTGTACTGGCCAATATCGAGCTTTCACAAATCTGCTTAAAGATCTGGGAGGCAGATGATATTGGAAAAAAATTCCAAATTTGGAAGAGGACTTACCCTTAGTGTATCTGAGAGGAAGTATCTCCTTGATTGCAATTGCATCCAGAAGAGGTCCACAGGTAGGATCCTCTTGAATTCCAGGATTATGAAATGTAACCTTGAAAACATCAGAAGTTGCCTTAACAGCCCATGCATAAGTATCACCACCATCGCTGCTAAACAGTGTTTGAATTGGGAGTTCAGTCGAAAAACCAGGGACAGAACCCCTTAGCTTCTCATCTTGGGCACAAGTCCTGGTGACTGCAAAGGTCAATGAGTACATTGCTCCAGGTTTCACCTTAACATATTGAGATATGGAAGCCTCATTTCCAAGCCTCGCTGCCTGAGCCCCACGAGGGATTGCGAAGTAAAAACCACCAGGTTGCGGTCCACTTGAAACATATTCAACTATGCCATGAATTTCCCATTTGGGCAAGGAGTATTTTCCTATGATCTGTCTTTTCTTAAGGTTTGATACCTTTGGCCCTTCCTCAAAGTTACCATTTTCTAGTAGACCTGCAAAATGTAAACAGGAATATGGTTAGAAAAACATACTACTACTGCCAGTTATGAGTAAATTTTTCTCCTTGTTCTTGTATCCTGCCATTGTTCGAATTTTTCAGAAAAAATAATAATAAAGAGGAAGAGTACATAGAAGGTCAGTTCATATCAATGATTAAAAAGAAGTCCAGAGCGAAAAACCTTTTCCAAGTATCGAAAAGACAAGTCAAACACCATTAGATTCAAAATCAAAAATTCAAACGGGTTCGTGTTGCTCTTGATGTTGAACATGTTAGAGAAAATTAACGCTGCGCATTTGATTTTTCTACAATTTACGTGGATCATGTTTGCATGTCAAGTGAAATTAATAGGTAAGATTTGATATTCGCTCCGTCATGTGCTGAGTGCTGACATAAAAATGATATGGTAAAGTGACTTTATTTGGCATAAACCCAAAAAAAAAAAAAAAAAATTGTACCAGGGTTAGCTCGTACCTAAGAAAAGTTAATTTAGCAATTTTATATGAAAAAAATTAAAGACTATTTAAAGCATACCATCAAGAAATGGCGCAACAGCCGCGAAAGAAAGGCTTTGGTAAATACACATTATGAATAAAATGCAGAGGGAGAGAATGGAAGCCATTTTTAGCAGTGAAACTGCCAATGTGACGCAGGATAAAAGCAAATGAGAATGTATACATATATTTAAAACTTAAGTTAGAAGGTCTAAGAATAGATAAGAGGGACATGTTATCATGCCATACAACCAGGCTTGAGTGTGTCGGATTGTCTCAATTTCTCGTTCCCAAAACAAAAAACAAATATTAGGCCCATCTTGGACATTAATCTAGCCGTTGAGATGAGTGATAAAGTCTGCAATTCCATTTCCAAAGGGTACTGAAGTCTTCATAGGTTGGCGTGATTTGTACTATGTACTTTGAATCTCTGGATATCCCACATGACGAAGCTTCATTTCTTTTATTTCAGTTCTTGATATTCAAATACCTCCAAAGTACTTTCAAGGTCTTGCTTGGCACTTGAGATTGGATCTTGAGTTTCTTTATTCTAACGGCATCTTCTAATGAACTATATAAGCATGTGTAGATCATATGCTTCACTTATCTATTGAGTGAGACATTAATTGAATGTCAAAATAATAAACATGGGATTGGCATTGTAAAGGAACCAACGTATTGATCCCAATTGATAACTAATCTCGTAATTGATATGAAAGCATTTTACTAGTTATGGTTAGAAGTTTTTGGCGATGTTGAAGATCGGGTAAAAACATCATCCTTAAAATACCAACTCCAAGAATTGCGAGCACGTGGCCGTACTTGGGTACGGTGATGAGTATAAATTTCTGAAGCAGATCCCTCAATCAAATCTCCATTAGTAGATTTAATAGGTGCCTCCCCTAGTAGTTTAGTTGCATTAAAATACCAACAAAAATCTTGATTAAAATACATACCAAGCTTAATTTTTTTTGGGTTATTATCGCTATCCCTTTAAACTATATTACTACTGTCAATTATACCCCTAACATTATCTTTTAGTCATTTCACCCTATAAGTAATTCAATCCAACATGTTAAGAAATTTTAGACAAAAATATTCCGTTATTTTATAGCATTATCACATTATTATCGCTTTATCCCTTTAAACTATATTACTACTATCAATTTAACCCCTAACATTATCTTTTAGTCATTTCACCCTATAAGTAATTCAATCCAACATGTTAAGAAATTTTAGACAAAAATATTCCGTTATTTTATAGCATTATCACATTATTATTATTATCACTTTATCCCTTAAAATTATAGTGATACAGTCGTTTTAATTCCTAACATTATTTTCTAGGCATTTTATCTCATCGTTAATCTAACTAATATGGTCAAAAAATTTTTAATATATTTACTCTTTTTTGTATATAATTAAAAATAAAAAAATTGAAAAGGTTATTCTTCCTTTTTTTTTTACTTTAAGAGATCCAAAAACATAAAAATAAAATGATTCTCTCAAAATTTTTTTCACACTTATTAATATTTGGAAAAGAAAAGAAGATAGG